TATATATATCTCAAACAAGTGACCTATAAGATGCAGTATTACCTACTGCATCTGGAATGAGGAAGTTGTATCCCAGCACAGTGTGGTGTAGCAGAGAGGGAATGATGCCCTTCAGGCCCATTGGGCTCCAGTCAGACAGCAGAGGGGTCATCCTGAGAAAGACTGGTTTGTTGCTAGACCTGAGGAACAAACAGGGTTACAAAAAGCAGAACATTGATTCAGAAATTGGTCGGAAACAAATCTGACAATGCACCTTGTCCCCGCTGACATGATAGTGGAATCTCCAATTCTGGCAGCCACGTCAGCCAGCAGGCTGATATATGTGTCCCCACCTAGCGCCTCAGGTGGCCGTAGGGACTGCTCCTCAAAGAGATTCCTCTCACCACCCTCCAGCAGGATGTACTCCATTTCCAAATGGGCTTGTATGGATCCCACTTTGTCCAGGAACCAGCTTACCGCTCCTGGGTTTGTGACATTCAGCTTTACACAGAATTTCCCTCGCCACTGAGTCATCAAGGGGACCTTCAGAATGGAAACACATCGACGGCATTAGCGTCTAAATAAGATGAGAACAGCCGAAAGTATTTAACTGATCACGGTAAACCTTTACACGCACACACGTTTCCACTCACCAGATGTCCATGAGGCGCCGAGGGGAGACTAAGCCAGAAGGCCTCAGTGCCGTCCATGAGGGATGTATGGAACTGCGTGGTGTCCACGCTCAGGAAAGGGGACAGAGTGACGGAAATGTTAAGAAGCTTCACAAGTGGGAGTTCCCTGCTTTGTCTCTTGGACGCCCCCCTCTTCCTGCTGTTGAGGTAGTCATGGTCCTATGGAGAGAAAAGCACGTTGAGGATATTTTATGGCCAAAAACATGTATTCTTTGTGTACCTTCAGCAACAAATTGTTGGACATTTTTTACGCTTTCAGCCGAACATTTTGAGCGTGGCCCTTTTCTGCTCGAGCGCAATTCCCATTAACTCATATTTTTGTTGAGTTTTGGCAAGCAAGAACTTCGGTCCCATCAAAAATCTTTGGGAGAGCCCACAATGTCAACAAGTCTGGACTCCATTCTGAATGAAAGGGAAAAACGTACCACAGACTTGGGAGCCGAGAAGAAAGTTTTCCCAGAAGCGGCCAAGCTGTTAGAGCGGCAATTTATTTACCAATAAAGGTGAGGTGTCCCAAATTTAATTTTGTCCAGAATAGTCAGCCTCGCCTTATTTATTTATTTTCCATGTTGCAATAAAGTTGGTGTCCCAATATTTTTTTTTGTCCAGAAGAGTCACTCCAGTCTGACTTCACACCATTTCAACAATGATTTCACAAACACAGTCAACACATTCAGTTGTCCACAATCTGGTGTTTGGTTCTACATTCAAATGTCTCCCAGTTCGTATTGCAATAAGGCAGCTGTGTCAAATGACCTCAGCCAGAGGCATTTAACACCTAAATTAATCCTTTGGAATGTTCATGTAATGTCAGATACTAATTCTAGATTACCTAAGGTGTGATTTAAGAACACAGAAGGGTAAGACCAGGTTGCGAAACAGCAATGGGAAGAAAAGGGTTGTTAAAACATCCAATATTATGCAATAGATTTTATCGGGCACATTTTCGATTCATAATTTGGATGTACAAATGAATTTCTATGCAAACATTAAAAGCAATTGCTTTACAGAAAAAAAAACCCGATGCAGACTTGAGTAATTAAATTTAGAAATGACGCAAAATGATTGCATGACCCACATTTTCTCATGCCAACAGTAATATAATGTGTTTTTGTTCTCCATAAAACTGCTATGGAAAAGAACTGACCTGTGACTGATCATTTCAGAATACCAATAAAACTGGAGGGAAATAAAAAGGATCATTGTTGCCCGTCTCATTGCTGCAGATTTATTTCCATCATCAACACTGCGTGCTCGGCTCAGACTTTATGAAAGGAACATAACTGGTGTTTTATATCTTCAATATACCAGAAATGCATTTTCTTGTGGCTATAAGAAATTCTTCTCATCAAGGTAATGCTTTCACACCTCCTGAACAGGGAATGGACTCACATTTCAAGGTGGCGTGCACGTGTTTGGTCAGATGCTTGAATTCAATGGCTTTCATTAACATATTGCTTTTATACAACTTAAGTCCAACAATCCACGTGGCATAACTCTGCATGGAAGCAGGTTAGAACTGATGTTGGTAATTTTGCAGACAAGCGCAGGCTGGCTGAACTGTGAGAGGGAGAGCTATGCCGTTGTGGGAGTGGTCACAGCCGACATTCATTTTGATTTAATGCCCGTTAAATGCAGCGTGATAGCTGCACATGAGGTTCTCGACATGGCGGAAGCACCTTTGCGCCACATGGGCACTTGGAGGCTGCAAACCACCTCCGATTATTTGTGTGCCCCCCATAGCTGTGCTAACCCATTGGGATGAGTTCAGAAATAGAATAGAATGATTCAGCGGTTTTGATGATCCCTGTTCATATTTACAGTATGAATGAAATACATCGTGTTAGACCAGCTGCCTACCCTGTGCCAGTGTTAAGTCCTTATCCCACTGAAGGGCAAACCTTTCCGAGTGTTGGTGAAGGTAACGAATGTGCATTCACGTCAGGATTCATTCAAGGTCGCAAATGTTCGCCAAATCTTTGCCAACAGTCTGAATGTTATTTCTTGTTTCCATCGCAATGGTAAAATATTTCCTTGAATTTTGAACATGTTCAAAATTTTCTTGTGGCAAAAAAAAAAAAAAAAATAGAGGTGAGTCTGGCGAGTGTCTGTAGAACGTTTGGCGAAACTCATCTCACATCACACATCTCCAGGGCAGTCCTTGATGTGCTAGCTCTGCCAAAATAGCAATTGTGCAACAAACCTAGCGGCAATCTAAAAATCCGGATCCACTGGCATTTGCACCAAGTCTTGTTTTTCCTGCTGTAAGGTCCCTGCACAGCGCTGATGGGGGGCGTCAGGATCTCACGATTACATAAACTTCGTTCCCATCCAGTGTTACATTCCCAGTGAGCAGTCTGATTGTTATCTCTTTTCTGTTTTGTTTTTTTTCCTGGCATTGATTTTGATACACTCGAAAGTGATCCTGCTGATCTTGTTTTTTGGGAGTGTTCAAGAACATTCAGAGAAAGGAAAATTATGTACACAATATTGATATTGGGACTGTACAATCTAACAATAACCCAAATCTATCTATCTATCGATCTATCTATCTATCTATCTATCTATCTATCTATCTATCTATCTATCTATCTATCTATCTATCTATCTATCTATCTCATTGTGAATATATATATATATACACATTTTGAGTAATATTTGGCTCTTGAAGTCACACTTTCAGATTAACATGGTGGCAAAGCCAAAAAACAAAACAAAACAAAGCACTGTATTCTCTTTTTTTCCCCTCTGTATTCTCTTTTTTCCCCTCATGATGACCCTTTGGTGAACCAGACTTCCCTCATCCTTTTTTCTTAGCAGTCTCTTTTTCTCTTAAAATCTACTTCAGGTAAAATCTTTCATCTCTGCCTGCTGTCCACATTTAAGCCATGAGAAAATGAACAATATGAAGGCACTTCTTCCTGTGAATGGTGGGTGGTCCTGTAATTAAGCTTAAGACGTGTTTGCAGTACCACTTGTACAACAGCAAATTGCCTATCCAAGGCTAAAACCAAATGCTGTCCAGAAAGACAGTTTTTGATAGTCTGAACCACAATTGCTGAGTTGTCAGAAAAAAAGGAGCTTAATTTGGGCTTAAAAAAAAAAAATTCAGAGTAGCACAAAGTATTCATTGAGAACTACAAAAATGATGTTTTGCCCTGTCTGCATGTTCCCAAGACAGTTGCTTACTTGCGATTTTACCAAGTGAAGATAGAAGTGAGGAATCTACTCTGTTTAGCACTATACTATTGATTGAAGAGCATGTACCATTTCAGAGAGGAGGTTGGTGGAATGTTCATTAAGGCTGATGATTCCATCCCCTAGTTGGTGTCTTCTAAGACGATTAGAGAAGGTCCTCAGCTCCCTCTCCACCTTTAGTCCTGAATCCACATTGCTGAGGAGCTTCCAAGATGGTAGCCTGTGGGACACACAGAGGAATGATACACAAATCAATCTGAGAAGTTTGTAAAGTGTGACTTTTTTATGACTATGACTGTTGATATTATATGTAGTTCTAATTAAGAAATACAAACTTTAAACTAGCAGCACGGTAGATGACTGGTTAGCACGTCCGCCTCACAGTGCAGGGGTGCAGGGTTTGATTTCGGCTCCGGCATGTGTGGAGTTTGCATGTTCTCCCTGTGCCTGCGTGGGTTTTCTCCGGGTACTCCGGTTTCCTCCCACATTCCAAAACATGTTTGGTCGGTTCATGGAACACTCTAAATTGTCCCTAGGTGTGAGTGTGAGTGCGGATGGTTGTTTGGCTCTGTGTACCCTGTGAAGCCCCAGCACGCCAGCGACCCCGGGTCAAGGGGAGTGCTGGAGCCTATCCCAGCCGTCATCAGGAAGTAGGCGGGGGACGCCCTGAACCGGTTGCCAGACAATTGCAGGGCACACAAAGACGAACAACCATCCGCGCTCACACTCACAACTAGGGACAATTTCGAGTGTTCAATTAGCCTGCCATGCATTTTTTTTTTTTTGGAATGTGGGAGGAAACCGGAGTACCCGGAGAAAACCCCTGCAGGCCAAGGGAGAACAAACTCCACAGAGGGAGGCCAGAGCTGGAACTGAACCCGGTACCTCTGCACTGTGAGGTCGACGCACTAACCACTTGACCACTGGGCCGCTACAACAAGATCATTATTTATTAATTTATTTTTTGGGAAGGATTATTTTTGATCCAAGTAAATCGAAGATGAAGCCAAATTGAGTGGTTTGAGTTCTGATGGTCCATCCATTCTCTCTCTGAGAACGCATCCTCCTCCTCCACAGCACTTACCACAGCGCCTTCATGTCGGGTATCTCCCTAGTGAACTGGGAGAGCTGCTGCATTGCTTCTTGGTGCACAGCCTTCACGTTGTTGGCTACACAAACGGTGTACTGCAGGGGTAGAAGCGCCATACTGGGCAGTGACTGTAAGCAGAACTGTTGTCTGCTGTCCAGCCCCAGCTGCAGAGGGTGGTCAGGAGACACCAGCACTGCAACGCCTGCATGGCAAAAAACAGGAAAGACCTTAGTTTATCGACTCATACTCTCACAGCTCACATATTTGGATTCAGAAAACAAAGACAAACACATTTGACCTTGATGTGTAGAACAGTGGTCGCAACGTCGTCCTGTATGAAATGATGCAACTGTGCCATTCGGATAGTGAACTCAATCAGTTTGTGACATGACATGCATATTGTGTAGAAAGTTTTTTTTTTTTAAATAATAAAAGACCCTGCTTTCCGATTAAAGTGTGTCCCGTCTTAATGACTATATGAAAAATGTTGATCAAAGGTGAGAACCTCGTTATGAAAAAAAACTTTTCTTTGTGTGTTTTTTGAGGCAGCAACTTGAGACAAAATTCTTTCTATGCTACAAGACAATTGTTGCCGACAATCAATGATTTGAAAGAACAGATCATATGAGCACCCTTGAGTGACAATTTTGAACAAAATGAGCAGGTCTCCATGAAATGGTATTGCTCCAAAATATTTTCTGCAGTCAGATTTTACAGCATGTGCTGGAAGTATGTCAGCTGTTCCTGGACGATAAATACACTGATGCTCTTGACGGTGCCGACCCCAAAGCGGAAACCGATTGCGCGCGCGCACACACACACACACACACACACACACACACAAGACAACATGTCACCCTGTCAAAACATTGTGCCCCACTGTAAACTGTCCAGGGGGCAGAATGGTTCTTGGATACAGGTTTGGGAGAAAATCCCCTCGGACACAATCACTTGGTTCATCAGAAGCATGCCTAGATGTACGCCATTCCTACATACGCCTCGTTAGATGTGGTTAGAGATGACAGAAGAGAGAATCAAAGTCCTCTTTCACCAGTGCATCAGAGATGTCATGATCACAGCATGCATGACGTCTCACAATATTCTGGAAAGCGATTTGTTACTGCTGCAGCTGTTGTGAAAGCGTTACATCAATAAACCTATTGTATTGTATGTATTGTGTACACAACATGAGCCTTGAGAGTTTCCTGAAACAAATACGCATCGGGTTAATGCTGTGGATTTCCATTGAAAGTCCTTGTGTTTGTGAGAGGCAAATTACGCAATATAATAAACTGACATATTATATTCGCCGAGTTCTGGGATGTACAATATTACTGATAACGTTAGTGTGCACTGCTGAAGGCTACAAATGGAAAGTGCAATGGGATCTGAATGACTGCACAGGATCAGGAATGCGACAATGACATACTGTAAGTTCCAGCATGTGTTCTCTCACATCGTACACTTAGTGCAGCTTTCCAGGGAGAGTGTCAAGTAAAAATTAAATAAGATAAAAAAGAATTGTGTCTGCAGACGCACGTGCCCTGTAAGGAACGTCTCTTTGGTGTCAACTACCATTCTACCCTTGCCGCTTCTCAGCTGTTGACTGACTCACAGCTTTTTGATCACCATTAGTCTCCATTTTCTATCCTATCAAGCCATGTTTTGTGATTGTTTCCGTTCTCAGACGGTGTTGGCCAGACACCTAATCTGCGATTTCCATAATCTTGCCACAATTAGCCAAAGAAGGATTTTGTTTAGAGGAGTTTAGTTGTTAAACAGATTAAGATGTAAGAGTGTTTTCTGGAGCCGGCAGACCGTCTGAGAACTCAGGTTGAGAGTTTGGCTCACTTCTGCTGCCCTCTCTGGTTTCAGTAGGGTCACTGTTCTCAGGCACGCAGGAACCAAGAGCAGACAGCACACGGTTTATAATCCGATTCATAGTTTCACAGATCACAAGGCGTGCAAAAAAGGCGAGTGAGCAGCTCCGACCTCAGTTGCGCACCTCTCATGTGTTTGCAACGGATAATGTCAAAGAGATACTTGTATCACGGAAGCTTCCTCCCCTAACCACACAGGATATCGGGTCTCGCTCTAACTCCTTGTCACATCTACCTTCATGCAGATCGCTACAGAGAAAAACAAAACGTGCACGACATGAACTCAAAAGGTTTCATGAGGCAAAGACGGAACTGAATGACCAAGTTGTAGCTGGGCGAAAAGTGGGACAGTGGATAAAATGTGACATCTTTATGGAAGGATGGAGGTGGAATGCAGGCAGTGGAAAAAGAGGCGACCGGCATACACCAGACACCCAGAAGCCTCGTGCAATGGTGTGCAGCTACAGCGCGCAGCGCCAGTGTGTTTTACTCGAGTGCACGCGAGGTGGAAAGTGTTTGCAAGCGTGGTTTCTTGAGTGCGAATGGGAAATGACATTGTGGGGCCTCACGGAAACTGGACAAGCTAATCAATGGAGGCTGTATATTTATTCCTTTTTATGACCACAAGATTCCAATGCAACGTGAATACCTCAAAGACTGGTATGGTGAGCGCCTATCAAGCCGTCACTCAAAAAGAGCTACAACCTGTGATTTATGGAAGTGCAGTCGTGTAGAACACAAACACACAGCTCTGAGTGGACAGTATCCCTCGATCACAGACGAGTGGGTCTCTGTTGGTTATTTAAAGAAAGGGAAGCAGGTTTGGAGCCTTGGGTTACAGCCAAGGTGGTGTGCCCCAAGAGTTAGAGGGGAAGCAAATGGGGCGGCAAGCTATTTTTAGAACAATTCCTTAAACACTCCAAGCTTCCCCTGAATATTTTCCATCATCCCTCAGAAGAAAAATCATACGCCTGACTGACTGTTTGCGGGCCTTTAAATCCGCAGGTAATAACAACGGCAAAAGCCTCAAGTCACGAGAACACCCAAATCAACTTTTTACACACAATTAAGAGAGTATCAGCATTCTGTTTAATGGGACATTCGTTTCTGCAGGATTTTTAATATCTTAAAAGAGTCTGTTCTTCATCTGTTTGAGAGCCGGACCCAGGCTTGACCCCATATGGCTTCGGAGGGGTCAACACATATTTAACGTGGCGTGTGGACCTGAAGACAGCACTGCCATTTGAGTCCCTGCTGCTATGGACCAGATGGCCCACGCTGTCTTACCTTGTCACAGTTCAATGCATAGCGGATAATGCACAACACCTGTGCATGCTAACAGACTAGACTGGGATTATAAAATGCACTTTGAAACATGGAAGCACATGTGTGTGCTCAGCACGAATTCCCTTATGGAAACTTCATCTCTATGCCCAACCTCAACAAACTGATGGCCACATAACTTGGATTATGCGCCAAGACTCCAAACCAATTTATGAAAAATAGTGACACACTTAATTATCCTCGGCTCTGTTCCTATCATCGATCTGTTTTAATGTTGAAAGAGAGAATTTGGTTTCCGAAAGTGTGATCACACAAGTTGCATAAGGTAAATTCAGTGATGTAAGAACGTTCCCAATAATCGTATTTCCTTCAGTTTGATCTCATCTGATGATTCATCATTTGTCATGATTTTGTTTTTGTTGAGATTACATTTGTTTTTTTTTCCCATAGTTTTGTTCCCTCATGTGCTTTTGATTTTCTCCTTTGGTTTTATTTCCACCTGTTCTTGTCATCCGGGTCCCTTGTGTCAAACAATCAGTTCCATCAACCCTTTGGGTCTTTTTCAAGTTTGCCTTGTTGTCTCGTCAGTTTGCTTGTTTGTCAGTAAATTCATTTGTTTGCTCATTTGGTTTTATTTCCACCTGTTCTTGTCATCCGGGTCCCTTGTGTCAAACAATCAGTTCCATCAACCCTTTGGGTCTTTTTCAAGTTTGCCTTGTTGTCTCGTCAGTTTGCTTGTATTTAGTTCCCTGGGTTGTGTCAGTCATTGTCGGATCTTTGTGTTGCTGTCGCATTGTTTTGTATTTCTGCCATAGGTTTTTGTTTGTTACTTTGGTATCTTGTGGTTTTCAGGAATTTGTTTGTTTTTTTATTTAGTTGTTCCAGCGTACCCCTGCAACTGTTTTTTGTTAATCCATCTTCTTCAGTACTCCTTGCTCGTCCTCCCTCCCTGCTTTTTGGGTCCTTTACCATCCCACACCATGACATCATTATGTTAATGTAGCTTCTGCCGAAGGCAATGCACTGCTCGGATTTTGGTATGGCTGCTAAGTATGTTTTTTTTAGAAAAGAAACAAAATTCAAAGTCTGTACACATTCCGAAGTAAACCAAAATGTATATAGGTATTCATTTATTACTTATAGTCCATGATGGAAACATTCCATTGGACTTGTGGAAAATGTTCTTACAGTAGCCCTCGCATACAGGAGATGACAGCTTGCGATGAACAAAGCACTGGCTGACTAAATGAGTCATTCTTAAAGTGTTTTGCATCTCTTCAGTGGGCAGCTGCTCAGTGACCTTCTGAATGACACGCAGCATTTGTTTTGTCACTCAGTCTCCTTGTTGTATGTACTGCATTATATTTGTCTTTATGCTGGACATAAAGTATGTGCCCAGGCTTAGTAGCGAGACAAGAAAACAATACAGTGAAATGCTTAAGGTCAAAAGATTCCTCAAGTCATTTCAAATTCCACTTCCATTTTTTTCTGGAAATATGTGCTTCTGAGGATTGGCCGTGGGTGTGAATGGTCACTTTATGTGCTCTGTGACTGATTGCCGACCAGTTCCGAGTGTAAGTCTGCCTTCTGCCCGTAGTCAGCTGGGGTAGGCTCCAGCAACTCCCCGCGACCCTCTTCAGGATAAGTGGTATTGAAAATGGATGAAGATATATACAGGTATATATATGGAGAGAGAGAGAGAGAGAGAGAGAGAGAGAGAGAGAGAGAGAGAGAGAGAGAAATCTGAACGCTTATCCCCACGAGCATTGCAGCATGCTGGAACTTATCTCAGCTGTCTTTGGGCTGTAGGTGAGGTACACCCTGAACTGGTTGCCAGCAAATCACAGGGCACACATAGACAAACAACCATTCATACAATCACACCTAGGGACAATTTTGAGTGTTCCATCAACCTACCATGCATGTTTTTGGAATGTGGGATGAAATGGGAGTACCCGGAGAAAACCCAAACTGCAAACTCCACACAGGAAAACTGGAGTTTTTTTTTTTTTTTTTTTTTAGAATAGCTAAATTCATC